GAGAGAGAGAGAGAGAGAGAGAGAGAGAGAGAGAGAGAGAGAGAGAGAGAGAGAGAGAGAGAGAGAGAGAGAGAGAGAGAGAGAGATCTAAGGATGCAGGGAAGGTGAGAATACCGAGACGGCGACGAAGAGAGCCGTCATGCCACCGGCGGCAATGACTGTCGCCAGCCAGGACAGGAAGAACTTCCCGAACAGCCACCAGTCTACCGTCCGTAAGTTATCTGCCGCCCCAACTCCTACCGTCGATCCGATGAGTATCTGCGTCGTCGACACCGGCCGTCCAAACGCGCTGGCCATCGCTACTGTGAATGCTGCGCACAGCTGACACGTAAACCCCCTTGATGGGGTCATCAACGTCAAGGCCCCCCCTAGACTTCTGGTCACTTTCCACCCCATGATCGCGAACCCCAGACATATGCCAACCCCCACGAGAGCCTTCATCCAGTACCAAGGGGCCCTCGCGTCCGCCTTCCCACCAGTGTGGTATGCGTAGATAAGAGAGAAGGGAGCTAGCTGATTACCGACGTCATTCGCCCCATGAGCGAAGGCCACAGCACAAGCGGGCACGAGCTGAAGGGGGTAAAACAACTCCTCCACACGTGGATTGAACCTCTCGGCCAGCTGATGAATCCTCAACGTCGATTCGTCGAACACCAACTCCCTTCCAAACGTATTGGCTTCTACTTGAGAGTACAACTCCTTGATTCCCCCGAACATAATTCCCAAACTCGGTTGTAGTGCAATTCTCGACCCGGCAGGAGGATCCCTTGGATCCTGACGATCTCGACGGGCCTGATCAGGCGGCAACTCCAGCTCTATCCCCTCCCCATCGATCTCCCCTGCCGGTTGTCTTACAGCCAATTCTCTTTTCTCTCCTCCTCCTCTTCCAGCACCTTCTCTTCTTTCCCCCACTCGTCCATCTTCTACTCCGTGTGCTCCTACCTCCCCGTCTGATCCTCCCCCTCCTCCTCTTCCTCTTCCTCCTCCTTCCACTCCTCCTCGTCCTCCTCCTCCTCCTCCTCCTCCTCCTCCTGCTTCCAAGTTCTGTCCCTGCAGGGCGAGTAGCTCGGCTTCTACCCTTCTTGCGGCCCTGTGACCGTACCTGCTCAGCCTGTCCCTTGCCCGAGGTACAGCCTCCCAGTACGCAATAGCAAATGCAGTTGCGGCTACCACTAGCAGGACAACCGGGGCTAACCCCTTATACAGTTTACACTCCGCGTACTTGGTCGTCAGCGCCGACTGGAAGAGGACCACCAGGGCGATCATCACCGCAATCAACGTCCAGGCGATGGGTAACGCTGCAAGCGCTCTAGTCTCTGAGTCCGGGGGCTGTAGAATAAATCGCTTCAAGGCCAGAAAGGACAACCCGGACAAAAGTGCCGTCACTGGAGGAGCTACCAACCAAGACACAAGCAGCTGCACGATCTGCGATCTCCAATCACGGATATTTCCATTCCCAATCACAGACGCAAAGACCACCATCGTCCCAGTGATCGTCTGTGTAGAGGAGACCGGCCACCCCCGCCAGGAGGCAGTGAGCACCCACACACTCGAAGCTGCCAAGCAGCAGGTCAGACCCCACATCACCAGAGCGTCCCCTGCCTCCCCTTTCGCGTTCTGGCTCTCCTTGATTCGCTCGAAATTCACCACTTTCTCCTGTAATGTCTTGATTACCCTGTCGCTCATGAGGTAAATGCCTGTCAACTCGAACACAGACGAGAGAACCACCGCCTGCTTCATCGTGATCACGTTGGAACCCACCGAGCTGGCAAATGCGTTGGGCACGTCGTTGGCTCCCATACCCCAGGCAAACGAGAAGGCCAGAAACCCCGCAACCACGACGATCCACGTGTACGACTGAAGTTCAGCCGACGAAGGGGGCGATCCTGGAGAATCCATCGCCTATATTTTTTTTTCCGCCCCCCCCCCTCC